AGGGAAAATGCATTTAACTATTATAGTAAATTATTTATCATTATTACTATTACTATTGTTATTGTTAAATTATACAAAACTGCTACTATTGGTCATCAGTTACAGTTAACTATTGATTATATATTTATCAATTATTTAAGAACTAGAGTACTAACCAGGTGTTCCGGTGGGCGTCACTGAGATATCCTGTGGTAAAATTGCCCCTCTTCTAGCCACCATCTTGGTCACATGTTGGGCCCACGCAGAAGACATTTCCATTGACGGCTCATTCAGGTCAAAGTTGATACCCGCTGTGCAAAGGGTTAAATAAATTAAATGTTAGTTATTTGTTTCTAATATAGGGAGCAAAAACACTTTCAAATGTGACTGATTGACCTTTTAGCTTTGAGGCCATCTATGTGTTAGTGTACTCCTAAAAGTTGAGAAAATTATCTTTAGAATATAGGAGGAGGTACTTACCCACAGGTCCCTCATGAGAAACGGTGTGCATGCTGAAGGACAGCTCTTTCTCTGCATCCTTCTGCAGTTCTTTTCGCTTTGAGAATGCCTTGGCAATCATTTTACTCTTCTTAATGCGTTTCGGCTCATCGTCACTTCTTCCAATGATTCTTAGATTGAGAGAAAATGCTTAATATTCAACTTATTTTTTATTTATTACAACACACAAAATGTTAAATAATGTCAATAACAGATTTGTATTATGTACTACATAAAATATAACATTATTTTAATTCATCAAAAACTTATTTTGTTTGTATGTTTGTTACCTACCTGAACCAGGTGCGTTTCCAGATAAGGATGGTGGCCTTCGTCCAGACCCATGTGCTCATTGCAATGCCTGTACCGAACATTGAGAAGAGGTTGATCTTCTCCACCAGCAGACTAGGCCTGTTCTTGATGGCACACTCTGGGATCGGCTTGTTGGTCTGGTGAGCTATGGTGACATTAGCCTCACATCTGTATTAAAAACTAGATTTGTTACATGACAGCACGGGTAGCCCTCTACAATATCACAACCATAACACAATGTATGGTAGATAATGTAGCTCACATGTTCCCCATGTCTATAAAATGCTACTTTGTCTAGAAAAGCTAGACGATAGAAGAAAAAGACTCACAGTACATATTCCCTGAAGCTTTTTTCCCACTCAGCTTGGTTGAAAAAGTCATAGAAATGGCAGCCGAATGTGATTAAAACAAAACCAAAGGCTAAGAATCCAAATATACCTGAGAAATGGAAAAATACATGGAATTTGCTCATTCTTAGATGAATGAACAAGTCAAAGATTCACAGAATTTACATCAAGAGTGAATAATCTCTAAAGATATTATTCGCAAACAAACTATATTATATATAGTGGATGTTTAATACGTGTAATGCATTGTTTGTGGAGAATAATTACTCTATTCACTCAACTCACATACACACACACTTGTGTTGCATTGTTTGTGAAGAATATATATCATTATAGCATAATGTTATTACAATAGCTGCAGTGTAAGTACTTGTAGTACACCTTTATTACTGACATTTCTATTGCCAGATGGGTTGTATTTTAAATTAAACCACTTCAATAATTGGGGTGGATTTCATTTTGTTCTTAATGAAAGCTTTTCATGCTGTATAATTTGTATAATTTTAAAGAGGAATCCAAAACTTACCAAGCCTCAGCATGGTTTCATTGATTTTACTAGCAGCTTTTTCACTGAGCAGCCCCGGATGGTTACTTTTAATGGAAAACAATGTCATAACCCCTGGAAAACAAGAGTCTTGTATAAATCCACACAGATAAAACCATCTCTTCATGCCATGCGCTACTGTTAAACACAACAGAATGAAAATATCTCTCTTACCTCGTATCAGGAAATAGCCGCCAACAACAAGGACCACCCCGATAGGAGCCAGAACAAACCCTGCACGGTATCTGTAGTTCTTATAGCCAACAAAGCAAATGCCGCTAACTGAATCTCCATCCACCTGTGGAATATTTCATAGTGTCAAAATTAAACCACTGTGAATACGCTGATATTAACAATACAAAAAAAATGACAAAAGCAGCCTCACCTCTGCAATGGCCAGTATAGCAACTGTCAGTATGAAAGGAATAGACCATGTGACCAGGTGAAAATAGGATGTTTTTCCAGACAGAGGCAGATGGGTGGTTCCCAGGGCTTTAAACGATGTGTGCCAGGCATAAGTGAGCATAACAAACCAAATAACTCCAGACATTAGAGAATAATACACAATGACGAAGATAATCACGCATGACAGCGTCTCGGTGGATCTAGAGAAAAATAAGCAATGGAAATAAGCATACTAATTCATCTGAAATATATCTGGTAAGTCAAATTATTTTTATTGTTTGGTCCAATTACTTTTCTTGGCTATCAAATGTTCCTGACAGTCAGTATTTGTAATATGCAGCGTATTTTGGAAGGTGGATTTTTCGCTGGCTTCATACTTACGATGGCTCTCCAAGCCGCATAGTGTCGTCGCTTTTACACACAATCTCCTTGCGGGCTCCATCCATGAACTGAGCGAGCCATCCAATACTTCCGATAAAGAAACATACATTGACGTAAAAGAGGATCACAGCAGGGTAACGGTTGGAATTCTTCCAGTCGGCGAGAAATGTGGCCTGTGGGAAATTGTAAGCAGGAATAACATCAATAATTAAAGATTCAGCCCAAACTTGAACTACTTTCTGTCAGAAATACTGCACACAAGGAAGTCAGCCAGCCCGAGACTATGAAATCCAGTCTTCACCGGCTCACCTACCAGCGTAAAGAATGTACATAGGAGAGTGATGGAGCCGAAGATGGCAATGTAGTTATGCATGTCCGAGTGCTCATCTTCCGTGAACAGGGGATTGTTGCACTGGATCCCACAACCTTCCACGTCCTTGTACCAACTTGCCTGGATGTCGGTTTTGACCAAGGGAGCCTCACACTGTCCTGAAGTGTTGAATTTGATCTTCTGGACCTCATTCTGAAAGTCAATTTGGTCACATCATGTGCAATCCAGACCAAACTTTTTGGGCGTATGCTAATGGATGACTTACCTGGCAACCCTTAGGGAACTGCTCCTTGTTTTCACACTTGAGGAAGTTGGGCCAGCCCCTCTCCCGCTCCACAATACTGCAAGGTTTGCGTGTAGCTTGACACAGGTGCTGGCTGGGCAGTTCGACCTTTCCATTCTCGCATTTTGGCATGTAAACAGCACACAGCAACGGCTGAATGACAGCCCAACAGCGAGGAGCATTTCTCAACCCTGAGCGCAAGAGATTGGGAGATTAGACATTAAAGGGGTCATATGATGTTGCTGAAAAGAACATTATTTTGTGTATTTGGTGTAATGAAATGTTTATGCAGTTTAAGGTTAAAAAAACACATTTTCCACATACTGTACATTATTGTTTCTCCTCTTTGCCCTGCCTTTCTGAAACGCGTTGATTTTTACAAAGCTCATCGGTCATTAAAACCCATTATAAACGAGGCATTTGTTGCATCCAGTGGGGACGGATTATAATGACATATACTGTCTTTAAAACCATACATAAAACCATGTGACATACATAAAACCATGTCTGCATTTGTGATCGGAGAAATGACAAACAAGAAGCCCTACTCTACACTGCTCAAAACTCGCTTTATTTGTGCACTTCAAACACATTTCATCACGAAACCACAAATGTTGCTCTCTTTTCTGCCGTCTTTTTTTGCGGGTCTAAAACTGTTGTTTGCGAGTTGAACAGTTTTGCTTGCGAGTGAAGCTGTCGCTCAGTGAGCGGTCTCTACCAACCAGGATGAAAGGCCTTTTTCTATTGGTCACTCTCGATTGAAGTCACAGGTCGAACACGCCCAATACGTTTCCCTGGAATCCCCGCCAGTCTGACAGAAGAGCGAGCGAAGTTGTATTATGGCGAGCAACAGGTCGTTTACTGGGTAAGATAACTAATTTAACATTTTAAACTCAGTGACAAGTTAACTTAATTATTCTCTCCTCTCATGCTTTCCCATCTAAATACGTAACGTTAGCTAAGCCCGTCTGAATTCACTTCTATAACTGTCTGGTTCAGCTCAGCTACCAAATCTGACCTCAGAAGACTAGAGGGTAGTCCGGACTGCTGAGCGAATCATTGGTACAACCCTCCCTTCTCTCCAAGAACTGTACTTATCCAGAGTGAGCAAAAGGGCTGGCAGAATCACTCTGGACCCCTCACATCCAGCACACTCCCTCTTTGAACTGTTGCCATCTGGTCGACGCTACAGAGCTCTGAGTACCAGAACGGCCAGACACAGGAACAGTTTCTTCCCTCAGGCCATCCAGCTCATGAACACTTGACAATAACTGTGGAACACACACTATTTATTCACTCACACACTTATTTATCTAACACACATACTCAGTCTACATTCCAATTTGCACATAATATACCTGTACATACAACTGTCTATTGTTATATACCTGTACATACAATTGTCGATTTGTATATTTTTATTGCTTATTTACTTGTTCTATTTTTTATTTATATTTATTTTTATTTATTCTGTTTTTTTGTTCTGTCACCGTCATTCTATTACACTGTGGAAGCTTCTGTCACGAAAACAAATTCCTCGTATGTGTAAACATACCTGGCAATAAAACTCATTCTGATTCTGAATAGATTTGATTAGCCAACAGTATAGCTAGCTGACAGAGCCCCCAATAGTAAGGCGTCAGGCCAATATTTTCAGAGATTATAGATTATTATAACTCCAATGAAGTCAGGTGGGTAACGCACATCAAATCACTAGCCCATTTGGCGGGTTATGATTCATAAATCATGACCGTATGCACACTCAAGTCTATTCGTGGCACCCAACAGCTGTTCAAAATCATGCCGGGCCACGTAATGTTACAGTTTGCCATTCAAAGTTTTCTAAAATACAACGATTTGGGACCGATGTCTGTACATTCTGACTTCACCCTATATCTGCAAGACTGTGTATTGTGCATTTTAATAACAGGTTTGTTTTGTACTATCTTTAAGACCTGTGCACTGACAATTGCAAAACTTAATACTTCAATAGTATTACTTACTTCAATTACTTCAATAGTAACGGATGATAATCAGGACTTGTCAGCCAGTACCACTGTAGCCTGGCAGAGACTTTGCTTTGAAGACCTTTTAATTAACTAACTTCCACATTTCAATATGCCCCTGACTTCTAAGGGGTGTTTTTATTTGTGACTACTCCCAACAGCCTAGAATTCTATCAGTAGAACATCACATTTTTCTTTTCTGTTTGCAGGAAGAAGATTTGGTGTTGATAGAGGAGGCAACATCTTCAAGGCAAAACCTTAGACCTCATTCAACATCATCCAATGTTGCAATCCCCCTCAGGAGGTACACAAGCAAAAGCTAAAGCGAACATTGTCAATTATCGATTCCTATTTTACTCAATTTGCCCTGCATACATTTTTGTCTTTAATGTGAAGGCACTTGAAGCCCAGTGCCCGATATGCACAGGAACATTTCAGATAAATGCTGTTCGTTTTAACGTTCTATTCATTAAAGAATCCTGAAAAAAAAATTTTTACACAACTGTTTTCAACACTGATAATAATAATGTTTTTTGAGCAAAAAATATAAGCATATTGCTAAAAATTTTGCTTTATTGTTTATATATTTAAATATATAAACACATAATTTTATTTATTTATTTTTACAGTGAGGAGGATGTGATTCGTCATGCAGCAGCACAGATAAACACCAGAAAGACATCTGAAATCTATCACGAGATAACACGTCTGAAGTTGTGGAAACGTCAAAAACAGGAAGCCCTGTATGTCCCTTGAAAATCACCTTCCTTGGAGAGCCTGTAAAAATAAATAAATAAAATTATTTGTATATAAAGCTAAAAACAATAAAGCAAAATGTTCTTTATTTTTTAGGTGTTTTTTGTTTTGTTTTTTAATGTGAGTCACTATTACCATTACCTTTCTCCACAAAGGCTGGCATGGCAGGTCTACATCTGACACTGGAAATGTTCCTGTGCATATCGGGCACTGGGCTTCAAGTGCCTTCACATTAAAGACAAAAATGTATGCAGGACAAATTTTGTAAAATAGGAATCAATAATTGACAATGTTCGCTTTAGCTTTTGCTTGTGTATGTCACGAATCCGGTCTATGAACTTCAGTTCACTCACCACCAGAGGTCACCCTTCCATTACATTGACTCTCGCACTACACAAACTGTTGCATGTCATCCCGGACTACATATCCCATCATCCATTGCACTGATTGCACACAGCACTGCAACAATGGATGATGTTGAATGAGGTCTAAGGTTTTGCCTTAAAGATGTTGCTTCCTCTATCAACACCAAATCTTCTTCATGCAAACAGAAAAGAAAAATGTAATGTTCTACTGATAGAATTCTAGGCTGTAGGGAGTAGTCACAAATAAAAACACCCCTTAGAAGTCAGGGGCATATTGAAATGTGGAAGTTAGTTAATTAAAAGGTCTTCAAAGCAAAGTTTCTGCCAGGTACTGGCTGACAAGTCCTGATTATCATTCGTTACTATTGAAGTAATTGAAGCAAGTAATACTATTGAAGTATTAAAGTTTTGCAATTGTCAGTGCACAGGTCTTAAAGATAGTACAAAACAAACCTGTTATTACAATGCAC